TGCACAGGTGGCAATCTATCACGTTACCACTCTTGAATTCACTGAGCTTCTGAAAGCGACCCATTCTTTCACAAATGTTTGCAGAAGCAGTCCACATGCCTAGGGGCTTGATTTTATACACCTGTGGCCATGGAGATGATTGGAACACCTAATCCCAATGAGTTGGAGGGCTGTCCCAATACTTTTGGCAATATAGTGTAAGTATATATATATCTCCCATGCTCATCAGTCACAAGGGAGACCCTGGAGAGGCTCTGGTGGGCTGCGGGAGGAGAATTCCCGGTGCTAGGATGGCTTTTACATAAAAGGGAATTGCTGGCTGAACAAAAAGATTCTGTAGTAATGCCTGGAGTTACAGGCATCATCCTGGAATAAGAGCTGAAAGCCAAGGACATCATATGACGTCCACCCGGGGGAAAGTGATTAAATGGTTCCAATTCCATTTGCAGACATGCAGCCCCAAACTTGGAAGGAATCTCCACCATGCTTCACTGTTGCCTGCAGACACTCATTAGTTTACCGCTCTCTAGCCCTTCAGTGAACAAGCTGCCTTTTGCTACAGCCAAATATTTCAAATTTTGACTTATCAGTCCAGAACACCTGCTGCCATTTCTCTGCAACCCAGTTCCTATGTTATAGTGCATAGTTGATTTGCTTAGCCTTGTTTCCACGTCAGGGGTATGGCTGTTTGACTGCAATTCTTCCATGAAGACCACTTCTGGCCAGACTTTTCAGGACAGTAGATGGGTGTACCTGGGTCTCACTGGTTTCCAGTTATGTGCGGATGGCACTGCTGGACATTTTCTGATGTTGAAGGGAAGTAAGCATGATGTGTCTTTCATCTGCTGCATTAAGCTTCCTTGGCCGACCACTGTGTCTACAGTCCTCAATGTTGCTGTTTTATTTATGCTTCTTCATCTTTCTGCTTTGAAATCTTTTTTTGAGAGAGGCCTTGCTGATGTAGCACAACTACCTTGTGTCTTGTTGCTGTGCTCAGTCTTGACATGGTGTATGACCTGTGACATGAAACAGTCTTCCACACCCCCACCCTTAGTAGCAGAGTTTGGCTATTCCTCACCCAGTTTTATGCCTCCTACACAGCTGTTTCTGTTTCAGTTAATGACTGTGTTTGAACCTACCTATGAAATTGATGATCATTTACACCTGCTTGGTATAACTGGTTAATCATACATGTGACTTTAATCCTACATAATCCCTGTGTGCAAGTGTAAGAAATGATGCTGGTTTGAATCCAAAGGGTAGTTGCATCAAATATTGATTTGAATTTGATTTTTCTTCTGTTTACTCACTTTGCATCTTGTAAATTGATAAAAACAAACAATTTTTATATATATATATATATATATATATATTTTTTTTAAAGCATTCCTAATTTTTGACAGTTCTGCACACTTGACTAAAACGTTTGCATAGTACTGTATATTAATAAAACAAAAAAAACCCCATCAGTATAAAAATGTATTAACTTAAAGCACAGCTGCGGGCTTAGTTTCCAGACAGCATATTGTCTCTCCCTCGAGTCCCCCAGGATACCAGATGTCTTCAGCTAAGTCACTTGCCACTTTCTGTAACTTTACAATGCATCCTCAGAGTTATGATGATGGGCATCACTGAACTTGAAATTTTGGGAACATCTCGTGCATGGGAAAGCTTGGGATTGAAGGTAAGTATTGTGGCAAGAGTTGTGTTTTTTTTTCCTTTATAAACAATAAGTGGAAAATTAAGAATAGAAACAAATTAGTGCAAGTTAAACAAATGTAAATTAAAATTGACCCATAATCATTTTAGTTTTTCTTCAACATAAACTAATAGATGAGTCTGCGTGTATCACTGAAGAATTTATTTATTTGATTTGGATAAGGCATACATATGGCACCCAAGAGCTGTTGCAAGGTTTCATTTACTTACAGTTACAAAATCATTCATTTACAAGTGCACCTGGACCGGATAGCATACACCCACGGGTCCTTAAATAATTGAGCTCTGTCATTTCAAAGCCATTGTTTCTAATTTTTAGGGACTCTTTAATGACTGGCATAGTACCACTGGATTGGCGTAAGGCCAATGTGGTACCAGTATTTAAAAAGGGGTCAACATCTTTACCAAGTAATTATAGACCTGTTAGTTTAACTTCTATAGTTGAGAAGATACTGGAGAGTTTAATAAAAAACCAAATAGATGAGTTCTTGCTGGAAAAAAAATATTTAAGCAACAGACAGCATGGATGCATGAAAGACAGAAGTTGTCAAACAAATCTGATTTCTTTTTATGAGGGGGCGAGCAAGACCTTGGACAGAGGGGTGGCAGTGGACGTGGTATACTTGGATTTTGCAAAAGCGTTTGACAAAGTTCCCCACACAAGGCTAATGTATAAGGTAAAATCTACGGACTTGGAAAAATCCATATGTAAATGGATAGAAAACTGGATAAAAGATTGTATTCAGAGAGTAGTGGTTAATGATTCATACTCTGAATGGTCTAGGGTTGTCAGTGGTGTACCCCAAGGTTCAGTGTTGGGACCCTTACTTAATATATTTATAAACAATATAGGGTCTGAGATTGCAAATCCCATTTCAGTCTTTGTAGATGACACCAAGCTGTGCAGTGGAATAATGTCCTTACAGGATGTGTTCAACTTACAAGCCGACCTCAATGCACTGTTTAATTGGGCAACTATGTGGCAAATGAGGTTTAATGTAGATAAATGTAAGGTTATGCACTTGGGGGCTAAGAATATGCATGCATCATACATACTAGGGGGGTACAACTGGGGAATCAATGGTGAAGGATCTGGGGGTTCTGGTAGATCACAAGCTTAATAATGGCATGTGATGCCAAGCTGCGGTTTCTAAAGCGAGCAAAATCCTCTCTTGTATTAGAAGAGGTATAGACTCCAGAGAGAGAGAGATATCATATTACCCCTGTACAAATCATTTGTAAGACCTCATCTGGAATATGCAGTTCAGTTTTTGGGCACCAATTCACAAAAAAAACATTGGGGAACTGGAGAAAGTACAGAGAAGGGCAACCAAACTGATAAGAGGCATGGAGGAGCTCAGCTATGAGGATTAGAGGAACTGAATTTATTTCTCTTGAGAAGAGGAGATTAAGGGGGGATATGATCAACATGTATAAATACATCAGTGGTTCATATAGTGAACTCGGTGTAGAGCTATTCACCCTGCGGTCAACACAGAGGACAAGGGGGCACTCTTTACGGCTGGAGGAAAAGAAATTTAAACTCCAAACATGGAAAGGTTTCTTCACAGTGAGAGCTGTGAAAATGTGGAATAGACTCCCTCAAGAGCTGGTTCTGGCCAGCTCAGTGGATTGCTTTAAAAAAGGCCTGGATTCTTTCTTAGATACACAGAATATAACTGGATAACATCTATAGGTAAAGTTGATCCAGGGAATATCCGATTGCCTCTCGGGGGATCAGGAAGGAATTTTTTTTTGTTCCCAGCAGATGCAAATTGGGTCGTGCTTTGCTGGGGGGGGGGGGGGGGAATTGCCTTCCTCTGGCTCAACTGTAGGTATAGGACTATAACTTTTTTTTTTTTTTTTCTATGGTTGAATTGGATGGACTTTTGTCTTTTTTCAGCCAGACTAACTATGTAAGTGTAAGCAGTCCATTCAACTAATGTGAATAAAATAGTATGTGATATTACAAATGACATAGAACATATTTTCACTCTCAGCTAGCAATAGTTTCACTATTTTTAAATACCATAGTACACCATATCCAGTGACTTTTTTTTGTACTTGTTTATATGTATGGATCTTTGAGAAAGATCAAAAGGATTCCTGTTACAGCTTAGTGCTTAATGCATGTATTTTTGTTTTCTTACCTGTTATAATAATAGAATATATGTGATAGATGCAACATTTATGTATTTATAATATAGCTAAAACTTTCTTTTTTTGTTTTGGATAGAGTAGGGAATAGTTAAAATCATTTGTTTTTGTTTGTTTTTTTTTGCTGACTGCATCCCATTGGGAAGATTTCCCATAATTTCCTGTTTCAACTCCTGGAGTTGAGAAAGACAACACAACAGGAAATAATAGGAATTCTCTGTAACGTGAGGGAAATTCCTTTGACAATTGGCAGCAGAGCAGGGGCTTCAGGGGGGAGATTTCCTTTCATATCCTGTAAAATTGTGGATTTTCCCTCACCTTTCCTTCCAGTGACAATGATGTAGTCTACCTTTTGTTAAATGTCCTAGGTAGGTCAGCAGGATATACTGTAGGTTTAGCATGGTTGTTGCAGCTGGCTAGAACTAGAAATTCTGGGGGACGTCTGCCCATTTTAGCAACTAAGGGATAAAAGAAATAATGATGTTCAACCTTGATTCAACCTGAACAGCAGTTTATGTTTTGCTCTCAATGAAACCACAAAAGAAGTAAGGTTTACAATACAGCGGTCATAGATGGATTGAAATTTGTCCGCTTCAGCAGGTTCAAGTCTCACCTCTATCAATTGACTTCTCATCAATGATCCTGCTAGAAAATTTCCATTCAATCAGCAATTGCAACCAATTAACTGCAGTGCTGATCAGTGTGTTTTGACAGTGGGGAGTCCAGCCAATGACACAGCATGGAGGATTCCTGTATCTGCATCAAATGTATAGAAGGGGGGAATTAGGTCAGTCTTTTTTATTCAGCCTGCTGGATAAAAGAAAAAACTGACCCATGTATGACCAGCTTAAGGGTTCATGCATATGGAGGTTTCTAGGCATTTAAGTATGCATATACTTAGCTTAAATTTCTCAGTTCTTCCTGTGCCACCTGCAGCTCTTCGGGTGCAGGAAAGCACCAGGAAATTTACGCTAAGCATATAAAATGCCTAGAAATGTCCATATGTATGAACCTTGATGAGCACCTGTTTACTGTATGTGTAAAGACAAAACTACTACATATTAAACGTGATCTTGTAATTTTTTTCCTTGTTTCTAGATGTTTCCAGTGGGAATAAACTTCGAATGATGCTACAGAAACGAGAAGGTATGTGAAAAGTAAACAAGAACGTAAAATAAACATGCATTCATTAAAAAAATGAAAAGCAAAGACGGGGATAGCTGACTGAAGGCATTGTTTGAACAGATTCTTTTGATTTTCTTTTATTTCCTTTTCACCCTCTTTATTGTTCATAATGTGTACTCAGATTTGTGTTAGTATTTTGGATGCTACTCTATATTATTTAGTTTTTCATGAGCTTTGAATTATACTTGTGGTTCTTCTTGTCTCTTCATTCAGTACTGTTAAGCATAACTAAGACGAAGATTGGCAATCAAATGTCCTTGGAATCTGAAATATTCCTTTTTATGATCATGCTCAGTGTCACAATTAAAATGCTGACAGTGCAGGAATATATCTTCTGTTCTTCCTTGTTGTCTTATAGTTGCCCTTCTCTTGTAACCCTTTTTGTATCTCTGCTACTTCCCACTTTTTTTCTTATATGTATCGATTTCTATCTTCCTAGATCTGTTTTTTTTAATTTGGTTCCCAACAAGTAGGAAAAAAGCCCTTTTAGCCTTGCAATGCTGAGGTCCTTGTTTTAATTTACTTTAAAGACATTGAGCCTGAACAATTGAGTTCCCTTCAGATGCTCTGGTTTCTTCCCACAGCCCTTATATTATCTGCGTAATTTGCATATGACTAAACTGGTCCTACTCTCAAGTTCTTACTCTGCCATGGATAATTCAACCTTTATATGGCATGATTTCTCAACCAGGGTGCCATGGTGGATTTCTAGAGTTCGTCCAGAGGTTGCTAGGGGTTCCTTGAGCAGTGAGCAATTTCTGTCTCTTAGAGAAGTTCCCAATGACACTATTGATCTTTTTCACCACTTGTAAGGAGGTAATTCTCCCCAATGACCACAAGTATAAGGAACATTTTTTTTTTCTATTGCCCATCACACTAATGTATAATTAGCTGTAGAGATGGTATTTTTAGGAGGGGTTTCCTGTTATTTCAAGGGTTCCTCTGTGTAGAAAGGTTGAGAAAGGCTGGGTTATGGTATTAAAAGAAGACGTTTGGGTGCTGAGATAGAAACCTATTCCCATAAACCTGAAGTGTTCTACAAAATCAGCACAATTGAAGCCTTTGTGCGTAATAGCCAAGGAGGATCCTCTCTTAAGTTTGATAAGAAAAACATAGCACTATTTATTCCCTATTAACTTTGCCCTGGAAGAGAGGAACCAAAGCCATCCAAGATTAATAATTATCTCCACTTTATATACCTGTACTCCTATATATAATTCATACAAGCCATTCTTGACTGAATAACTGCTACTTGCTTTTTGCAGTACCACAATGGAGTATCACCTGTTCTCTTCCTTCTCCACTCAATCCTCTCTTATTTTCTGTTAAGGAGTTATCATACAAATCTCTATTTCTACTTTAGCTGCATCAAAGGAACCAGCAAAGACTGTTGTGGCTGTAGAAGGAAACAAAGCCAACGAGTTTTTAAACACATTAAAGCGTTCTAAACGCCAGCTTTGGGACCGGTCTCGACCTGAAGTGCAGCAGTGGTACCAGCAATTCCTCTACTTGGGCTTTGATGAAACTGTAAGTGATGTCAAGTACTGCTTTTCAAACTAAGATTTTAAAAATACTGTTATGAACATTGGTGTCATGTTATAATCAACTACACAAAAAGAATAATCAAAATCGTTATCGAATCAAAGCACAATTCCAGGTAACAAGTAAAACCCATCAGTGGCAGTGAACTGGCAATGCCATTCAGCAATTACTATACAGTTACAAGAAAAAGTATGTGAACCCCTTGGGATTACGTGGAGTTTTGCATGGATTGGGCATAAAATGTGCTCTGAACGTCATCTAAGTCACAACAATAGAAGAACACAGTCTGCTGAACATAATACTACACAAACATTAGATGTTGCCATGGTTTAATTGCACATAACATGTAAACATTCACAGTGCAAGGAGGAAAAAGTATGTGAGGCCCTAGCTTAATGATTTCTCCCAGAGCTAATTGGAGCCAGGAGTGAGCCAACCTTGACTCCAATCAGTGCGATGATATTGGATGTGTTGCTGACCGATGTCCTGCCCTTAAAAAAAACACACACCTGTTTTGGGTTTACTGGTTTCAAGAAGCACTGTCTGATGTGAACCATGCCTCGCAGAAAAGAGCTCTCAGAAGACCTACGATCAAGAATTGTTGACTTGCATGAAGCTGGAAAGGGTTACAAAAGTATCTCCAAAAGCCTTGATGTTCATGTGTCCACGGTGAGACAGACGGTCTACAAATGGAGAAAGTTTAGCACTGTTGCTACTTTCCCTAGGCGTGGTCGTCCTGTAAAAATGACTGCAAGAGCACAGCGCAGAATGCTACATGAGGTAAAGAAGAATCCCAGAGTGTCAGCTAAAGACCTACAGAAATCTCTGGCACATGCTAACATTTTTGTTGACACATCTGCAATAAGGAAAACATTAAACAAGAATGGAGTACATGGGAGGACACCACAGAGGAAGCCATTGCTGTCCAAAAAGAATATTGCAGCACGTTTGAAGTTTGCAAAAGAGCACCTGAATGTTCCACAGCACTATTGGCAAAATATACTGTGGACAGATGAAACCAAGATTGAGTTGTTTGGGAAGAACACACAACACTATGTGTGGAGAAAAAAAAGGCACAGCACACCAACATCAAAACCTCATCCCCACTGTAAAACACGGTGGAGGGAGCATCATGGTTTGGGGCTGCTTTGCTGCCTCAGGGCCTGGACGGATTGTTGTCATTGATGGGAAAATGAATTCCAGAGTTTATCAAGACATTTTGCAGGAAACCGTCCAAAAGGATGAAAAAGTATGACCATCTGTCCGCCAACTGAAGCTCCGCAGAGGATGAATGATGCAACAGGACAATAACCCAAAGCATACAAGTAATTCAACAAAACAATGGCTGCAACAGCACAGAATACGCCTTCTGGAGTGGCCCAGTCAGAGTCCTGACCTCAACCAGATTGAAATGCTGTGGCATGACCTTAAGAGAGCAATTCACACCAGACATCCCAAGAATGTTACTACACTGAAACAGTTTTGTGAAGAGGAGTGGTCCAAAATGACTCCAGAGATCGTTGTGCAGGTCTGATCTGCAACTACAGGAAACGTTTGGTTAAGGTTATTGCTGCTAAAGGAGGGCCAACCAGTTATTCAGTTCAAAGGTTCACATACTTTTTCCTCCCTGCACTGTAAATTTTTACATGTTATGTGCAATTAAACCATGGCAACATCTAATGTTTGTGTAGTATTATGTTCAGCAGACTGTGTTCTTCTATTGTTGTGACTTAGATGACGTTCAGAGCACATTTTATGCCCAATTCATGAAAAACTCCACGTAATCCCAAGGGGTTCACATACTTTTTCTTGCAACTGTAAGAGCAAATAATGTAAACCTGCCATAAATATTTGGCCTGCCACTGTGGACTCTCTTATGGAAATGCTATGTGATAGACTGTTATGGTGACCCAATGGTTTCAATACATTTTATGCTTTTGACCCAGGAGTGTGCACGTCAATATATTATAGAAAACTTCTAGGACCACATATCTGTGTTCATGTTCCTGGTTAGTGCTTTATATGTTTGAAGATAATAAGCACAGCAGCCAGTCAATTAGCATTTTCAAAATGATAGCGCAGCGATGACAACTTCCATGTTTTCTTCATGACAGGTAAACTAAGTGTAAAAGTTCACTTAATTTGAATCAATATTGACAACAAGACCTCTGCACTGGCCCATGGTGAAATCAGAAATGTTTGCATGTAGTCAGGGTTACCAATATTCTTTTTTTTTTTTTCTTCAGTGTATGTATACCCAAAACTTTTTTCAGTTTTACATTGAGGAGGAAAGCCCAGTCTGTGTCCTACTAAGGAAATATCCCTCAACTTCCTGTCCCAGAGATGTGAGGGGAAATCTCTAAAGAGGGGAATTCTCTACTTAGACCATTGTCAGTGAAACAGGTGTGCCCACTGGAAAATGTACCCTCACCTCTTGTTATGGCAGCAACTGTAAAATGCAGCATTTTGCAACACTTTTTTATTTGCTGATAATGGCCACCTGTTCAAAAAATTTGGAGAGGTGGAATATACCCAGCAGGGATGCAGGCAGCAATTAAAATCCTGACAGATTCACATAGTCTTTCCAATAATGGAAAAATGTTTTTTTTAGAAAGCTATCAGATCCATCATCTCCCTCTGCTTGCTCAGGGGTAGGGGTGGAAAATCACACAGTAAAGGGTCTTATTGTATAAGGAATGCTTGCTTGCTGACAACCTAACTGGAAATGTATGTCATTACTTTATATTTTAATACCCGAGTTATGGCTACAGCTAGATACTATAACCCTGGGATTACAATTTTCAAGATCCATCGCTCTCTTTCTGCTAAAAGTTTGAGCAGTTGATTAGCTACTGGATCACTTTTAGAAGCAGTTGGAGGGATTGCAGCAGCTGGCCATAGAGATTAGAAGAAAGATGGCCTCTGCTCATCTCTATGGCCTAGGTCGCAGGAAGAAACATCATGGTGTCACTTTCATTTCATGGCTGATGTACACAAGGCCATTTTTTTTTGTAAAGCATTAGATCAATTTTTTTTTTCTGATCTGATACTTTCCATTGTGATACTTGCCATTATAGAGGAGAGATGTGGTATCTTATTGACCCCAGGAACTGTCCTGCCTTATTTTTGTCACAAGAGATATTTACATTTTTTGTGACAGCACTAAAAGTGATAAAAAAAAAAATAAAAGGGGCAGTGTAAAAAAAAAAAAAAAATATATTTTTAAAGTGCCCCCCTTGTGCTTGACGAGAGCAGTGGCAAACACATATGTAAGTCACGCACACATATGTAAACAGTGTTTGCACTGCACCTGGGAAGTATCGCCGTGAACGTTATAGCGGGAGCAATATTTCTAGCACTAAACGCCCTCTGAAAACTCAACTGGTAACCTGTAAACATTTTTAAAACGTTGCCTATGGGCGATTTTTAAATACCGTAGTTTGGTGCCATTCCACAAACGTGCACAATTTTAAAGAATGACATTTACTCGGCGTAACATCTTTCATATTTTACAAATGTTTTTTTTTTTTTTTTAGTTCATTGTGTATTTTTTCTCCAAAAAAAAAAAAAAGAAGTGTTTGAAATACCACTGCACAAATACCATGTGACATAAAACTTGCAACAACTGCCATTTTATTTTCTAGGGCCTTTGCAAAAAATAAATAAAAATAATGTAGTATGTTTGGGGGTTCCAAGTAATTTTCTAGCAAAAAAAAGAAAATACAGATTTTTTTTACTTGTAAACAAAAAGTGTCAAAATAGTGGTTAGAAGGAAAGATGAAGGCAATATAATAGCTGTCGTTACAGTAACCAGGAGAGAGGGAGGTAGAGTGCAATATTCCTATACAAATAGAGGTGAGGAAGACAGATTTTTTTTTTTTTTGGGGGGGGGGGGGGGGGTCAATTACCAAAACTGGACTAATCATAATCTGGTGGAGCTGTGAATGGTAACCAGTTTCTAGCTTCAGCTTGTTCAGTTAAGCTTTGACAATAAAACCTGAAAGTGGATTGGTTTCTATGCAAAGATGCATGATCAATGGAGGTCAATGATCTATAAGACTTGGTTGGAAGGGATGGCAGTGTGATTAGTCGCTGTGTAGGGGAAGGTGTTTTTTGTTTCAATACACTTTCATAAAGAAGACCCTGGTGTGACGATCGCGGCATCAGACCCCAGCCCTTCTCACCAAACTCGTGACCAAAGGACTAGTCACGTGTGTAACAATGCCACGCCCAGCTGCGCCCTGCACAAAGATTTCCCAGCTAATAGACCACAATCTGTGTACTTGCAGCCTGGAAGTGATTGGTATTGGGTCAGGTTAATTATGCAATTAACCCTTCACACTGCCACCACCTCCTTTTTGTACAGAAAAAGAGGAAACTAGGCAATATTAGCAATACACTATGATGTTTGCATAAGAGTCCGTATACCACTGTCACCGCAGGCAGAGATATACAGAAGTTTAAAACACACACAGTAGCGCTCTTCAGAGACAGGGATTCTTAGTTTGCATTAAAGAACTTTAGAAACAGTTCAACACTTTCAGAAAGTAAGATTTATTACTAAAAGGTCAAAAGGGTGCAATAAAAATATTTACAGAAAAAGATGTAGCATATACATATATATATATATATATATATATAAAAACAAATATACAGAGAGCAATAACACCGCAAAGAGATAACAGAAAGAGAATTAGGGAGGTAAAGTACTTGCCGTCAGCCTTGGTTTAAGCAGATCAAGTTTCAGAGCAGAAGGGCGCCTTATCTCCCAAAGTTGGTTGCTGATGTTAAAAAGGAGATTTCTTCAACTTAGCTCAAGTCAGCTTAGCTTGCTTCAAGCATAACAGCCTTTTTCTAGGAACTCAGCAGGGTGTCTCCTTAAAGCAGAGAACCAATCGCCTCATTTGGGGAGGGGTGTTGTAGGCGGGGAGCTCAGGCTATGACCAAATCCCTCCCAAATTATACTATGGTCAATAACATTTCCTAGGTACATGTAACATTCTATCCACGGGTAGATTAATATGCAGAATCATCTGCTGAACGTCTAGATATGAAATATGACATACCTGCTGGGATGGTTAAGGAGATATTTTCTGCTCTCCTGTTTGTGTCAGCTAGGGGGTGTAATATATCAGACGACTTGTATTAAAGTGACCCGTCTGAATATGTGCCTGGTTTTTATGTAAGTCTTTCATATTGCAAGATATGTAATCATAGGGGAAAATGGATGTTGAATGTGATGTCTGGTTTACGACTACCTGGAATGTCTTTGAGCTCAGTGAAGGGCTTGGTTTATGATTTTACGATCCTTTTCCAAGCAGAGTCTTGCAGACATATGGGGGCCAGGCAAATTGGGGTTTATAGCCATCAGCTCTCCCACTGGGCCTTGATGCCTTTTTGAACTCAGGATCCAGGGACCACGTGTCACTCAACAGAGAGGGAAGGGGGATGAAGGAAGCTGATTTGGGAGTAGAGAATGATAGATGCCTTTGCCAAAATGGAGGTTTGCATCCATCTCTGTGTGCACAATTGCTACACCTGGGACTACTCTAATATACGGTTTTATACTGGACTACTCCTTTCCTGAAATAAATTCAGCGTATTAAAAAAAAAATTGATCAAGTGAACCTCTGAGAATAGTTGGTGTAGCTCATTTTAAACGTTGCAGGCTGCAGGGCTGTCATGCAGATTCTCTAGAAATCAATACTTTCAGTCAGTGATCCAGAAAAAGAAGATAAGACTTTTCTTGGATATACCTGTGCTGCATACATGGTACAGGTCAGTAACCCAAAAGGTATTGGCAACAGGGAAAAAAAAACTAATTTATGCTGCTTATTCCAGCACCTTTTCCCTTGCCATATTAAGCATAATAGTGACTCGAGGGTAGTAATCCCTGGAAAGTGTATAGCCTTGAAACAATTTAAATGTATCAAGCCTAAAGAATGACTCGGTTCATAATGGATGTGTGTGTGATGTATTGGTATGCATTGAAGATTTAAACCACCTAATGGTCTCCTTACAAAGTTTGACTTCACTGGCAATTTTTCTCTTAATTCCAGAAATATGAAGATGACATGTCTTACTGGATGAACCAAGGTCGTGCTGGTAATGAATACTATGGTGGTTTTCACCAACACCATTATGATGAAGATGCAGCTATAGGCCCTCGCAATCCATATACTTTCAGGCATGGGGCTGGAGTGAATTACGATGATTATTAGAACTCAGCATTGCACTGGAAATGTTGAAGGTTAGCTAAAGCTTTGAATATTTAGAATAAAAAATGACCTTGAATATATGGATAACTAGAAAAGTGCATTGTAGAAGGCTGGCAATTAGGCTAGGTTTACACTATTGCAACTTTGCGGGCCACGTTTGTGTGGGGATGGCAGTCTATTCATTTGAATGAGCTGCTGTGACTGCCTTGCATGCAGGTAAAAGGTTTCTGCAGCATTTGAAAATGCAGCAGCCAGGAAAACTGCCTGGTGCATGGCGCAGATTTGCAGTTCCCTCACCTGCAAGCATGCTGCATTTTTAAATGCATGGGGGTGCTCTTGAAAATGATTGGCAGCCCCACGTGTTTTTAAAGAGTAGCACGTTTTGGCTGCAGAACAGCTGTATTCCCCGCATCCGCAACCACCTGCAGTAGTGTGAACATAGCCGTTAGGAGAATAAAAAAAAAACAAAAAGTGAAATACCAGCCTTTTGCCTTCTCCTGCTGTAGTTCTGTTTAACTCCTTAAAGTGTACATAAACAAAATCTATTTTCTGGTATATTTGGCATCATGCCCCAGTGTATAAACCTTTATTAAGCTGTTCTTTTTTTCCATTTCCAATCTGTAGATCCTAGCAGTAATGAGATGGGTATACGTGATAGAAAGCCCATGGCCAACACAACAGGCTGACAACAATACTGCTAATTGAAATTGCAGGAGCTTAGCGTTGTCATCCTCAACAAGGCTGTGCTGTTATTGGCAGGACAGAAGAAATTCTGCAATAGATTCACAAAAAAAATCATTTGCTTAAAAAAAGACTGTATACAGTGACACAAGATGCCAAAAATATGGAAAAAACTGATTTTGGGTTTACATACTCAATAGTTATATTTAGCAGTGCTAAATACTGTTTATACATGTAGTTCTATTTTAGAAAAAGCATTGACTTATGACACAAAGAAATCAATCATTACAGCTTTCTTCTGTTACCTTAATAAAGTTTTAATTTGAAATTAGGTGACATTTTATGAAATGTTTTCTTTTTCAACTTTACACCTATACAACCGATCTTTACCGTATCCTAAATGCTGTATCTACTGAGTATATTAAATACACATGGTTAAACTTCTCATTTACATAAAATGTCAACATTCATTTTGTCTTGGCAAACCTTTCCTCAGCCTAAAAGGCCAAATTACGTGAAACAAATTTGTGAAGCAGATGTCATATCTCACAGTTTGTACAATTTGGAAGAACACACATTCAAGGTAACCTTTAATGCAAAATGCACATTTATTATAGAGAAACACAGATTTACACCTGTTTGAGCACCTTGGAGAAAACACTGAAAGCATCAAATAGGCAGAGAAGGGCGACTAGCACTTCTGCAACTTGCAAAGTTTAAAAAAAACAAAAACAAAATCCAAGTTAGACTTACCGGTACCTTTTCTAGTAGTCTTTCAGGACAGCACATGAGAGAACGCAGCTCCTCATCCTCTTGCAGGAAACACACACCCACTTAGACTTCAAATTGGAGGCCTCTCTCCACAGTCCTCAGTTGTCAAAGAGTACCTCTGGCCCATCTGAAAAACATAAGCACAATAGCATAAACAATATCAGGGCCGGCAATTATTGCTGTCCTGAAAGACTACTAGAAAACAAGTCTAACTTGGATTTTCTCAAAACCTCTTTCAGGACAGTACGATAAGATGAATGAGAATGTACCCCCTTAGAGAGGGACCACAGCTTGCAAGACCTTCCTACCGAAGGCCTGCTCTCCTGCTGACAACAAATCCAGCCTGTAATGGCATACAAAGATGGACATGTTTGACCACGTTGCTGCCTTACAAATTTGTTCTGGGGAGACACCGGCCTTTTCTGCCCATGTGGCTGCTAGAGCTCTTGTGGAATAAACATGAATGCCCAGCGCCAGAATGAGATCAGAAAGTTCATAGTTGCTTTTTGCCCTTTTTTTAGTCCCTGCAAACAAAATGAAAAAAAGATTCAGAACTCGTGAAATCCTTAGTTACTTCTAAAGTGTAACATGATTCTTCTTATGTCTAACGAATGAAAATTTCCTTTCTTCTCCCCTGAGGGGTTAGGACAAAAGGTTGGCAAAATAATGTCTTGAGAGCAGTGATAAACCGATCCTACCTGGATTGGTTCTCATTACAATCCTATCTAGATAGATCAATAGAAAGTGTTATCTGACTGATAACGCCTGTAGATCACGAATTATATGTGCGGAGGTGACTGCAATTGATAGAACTGTCTTCAGTATGACATACTTCAGGGTTGCCGAATCCAAGGGCTCAATGGGAGACTTTATCAGAGCTTGCAGGACTAGTGAAAGATCCCATTTAGGGAAAGCTTTTGCTTTAACCGGTCTGGATCAAGACAAGGCCTTGAACAATCTGATAACTAGGGGATCCAGGGAGATCAAACGCTCAAGAAAGACCCCCAAAGCTGCCACTTGGACTTTATGTGTGCTGATTGCTAACTTACTGTCAGCTCCTTGTTGAAGAAATTTCAGGACTGAATTGAGATCTTCCAAAGGACCTTGAATTGGTTAGGCACCAAGAATTATACTTCTTCCAGACTTTCTGATAGATAGCTCTTGTGACCCCCTTACTTGCTAGCAGAGTGTCTACTAAGTGTTTTGAGAAGCCTTTCTTTTCTAGCAGTTGCCTTTCAGATACCATGCCGGGAGGCGTAGATTTTCCACTTTTGGATAACCGAGAGGAAATTGTAGTAGCAGGTCCTTCCTGATTGGAAGTGTCCAATATGGTTTTATTGACAACTGGAGGAAAGCACGACTTGTTCGGCCAGAAGGGAGCCACGAAAATGACCTGAACTCTGTTTCCAGCTTCTTAAGAGACAGAGGAATTAGTTGGAAGGGAGGAAAGGCGTAGAACAGCATAGCTGGAAGATCCACCTTTGAGCGAAAGCATTGATCCCTCCTGCTCCATCTTCCTTGTTCAGGGAAAAGAACTGACTAGTTTTGGTATTCTAACTATTTGCAATCAGATCGATTTGCGGCTGACCCCATTCCTGAACTAAGCTGAGGAAAACTTCCTTCAGCTGGTGTCTGCTCAGGAAGTCGGCTACCAGGTTCAGTGAGCCTTTGAGATGGACTGCTGAAAAGAATGCCAAATTGACTTTCATCAAAGTCCTTCTTCTGCCAGACTTTGAAGACGCTTGCTTCTTGTACCACCTTGCTTGTTTGCGTAAGCTACCGCTGTGGCGTTGTCCGTGCAGACCTGCACATGTTGACCCTGAAGTTCCTGAGAGAAAGCCACAAGAGCCAAAAGCAATCTATTTTAATTCCCTCCAGTTTGGGGAGTTTGACCTTTGCTGAGCCCCTGTGCAAGCTGACCTCCCAGGTGTGAGCCCCAGGAGCTAGCATCCATGGTGAGGATCCTTTCCACTGGAAAGGACCAGGCTAGACCTTTGGAGAGAACCTCCTGCTCCACCACAAGAGGGATCTCTTCACTCTGGAGGGGACCCTCATCTTCTTGTCCAGTGAGGCCAAGTCCCCATTCCAAACTCTCAGGATGAATAGTTGAAGGGACCTGAAGTGTAATCTTGCCCACTGGACCGCCGGTGTGGAGGCTGTCAACAGGCCCAGAGCTGACATCACATCTGGTGGTTGCCTTGAAGAAGAGTCAAAACCGCCTGTATTTTCTGCATCTTTTCTTCTGGCAAAAAAACTTTCTGCTCTGCCGAAGAGATGCAGAACCCCAGAAACAAAACCTTCTTGGATGGGGTCAGATTGGATCTCTGCACATTGACAATCCAGCCCAGACTTTCCAGATGACTGCAGGCTACCTGAAGGTCCTTCCTCAACTGCTCTTCTGAGATTTCCAGGAACAGAAAGATAATCTAGGTAGGGAATTGCCATAACACCTCCTAGCCTCAAGGGAGCTAGGGCTTCTGCCAACACCTTGGTAAAAATGCAAGGAGAGAATGACAGCCCCGAAAGGCAGTGCCCTGAACCTCGTGTCCTGACCTCAGAGCTAGCCTTAAAAATCTTTGGGCATGCTCTGATTGGGATATGCAGATAGGCGTCCCTCAGATCGACTGATGCAATAAAGCAATCGGGAAACAGCAGGTTTCTGACCGAAAAGATTGAATTAATTAGGAACCGCTTGTATCACTCTGCTTTGTTCAAGGGTTTTAAGTTGAGGATCAACCCAAATTTTCCTTACGGTTTTCCTAGTAGAAATATATGGGAATAAAATGCCATCTGTTCTGCCCGGACCGGAACCACCACTCTTTGGAATATCAGATCCTGAACCAGGTTCTTCATCGCAAGAGCTTTTACCGGATTCTTCAGGATATCCAACGAAAAACCTTCTTGGGGAGACCTCTGCAAACCATCTCGTAACCCCGGCTGACCAGATTAGAGATATACAGGCTCAAAGTTATCTTCTACCATTGTGGAAGGACCGCCTGCAGTCTCCCTCCCCCCACAGGGAGCATGGTTTTCTCTTCACAGGGAAAGACGTTTTCCTGTCTGCTGTGCGATCTAAATTTGACTAAGTCTGGCCCAAAGAGGAGATCTCCTGAAAAAGGGATTCCACACAGCTTAAATTTTGATGTAGAGTCCCCCTACCATGTTTTTAACCATAAGGCTCTTCTTGTTAGACAAGGCAGCTGAGCGAGCTGTCATGCGTATGCATTCCGGACGCATCGGCTATATACCCTACCAGCTCTTGTGATTGCAGCGAAGGAATCTAAAATCTCATCCTTTGGGGTCCCCGCATTGATCAGCACTTTAGCTGGTTGAGCCAATGCTCCAGATTTCTTGCTATGCATGTGAATGCCATAGCTGGCTTCAAATTCTCCATTTTGGAATGCCATGCTCTCTTCAACAGCAAATCCATTCTTTAATCCATAACCTCTTTCAGGCTCCCCCATGTCTTCAAAGGCTAAGTCTGTGCTTTTTGAGACTTGGGAAATTGCAGCATCAACCTTCGGCACTTTGTTCCATAGGGCAGAGGAGTCCTCTTCAAACGGGAACCATCTCTTGTGGGATCTAGAAAAAAAACTAGTTTCCTTTCCGAATCCTGCCATTCCTTTTTTATCATATCTGAAATGGCCGAATGTACAGGAAAACATCTCCCTTTTGGCTCACTAAGACCCAGGTACATTTTATCATGGACTGCAAGGTTGCACTTCACTCAGCCTTCATGGAAGCAAGAAAATCACTAGAAGTTGATGCTGCCTCCTCTCTCACTTAAGCAGAAACGCACTCCTTGCATAAAAGGCTTTTTCCAAGCATCTGACAATTTACACTTGCATGAAGGACATCTCCTCTTGCTAGATTCCTTTTTACTGCCCTTAGCCTACGACAAAGCACAAGGAACATAACCGCTTAGCCACGGTCTGACCTTAAAACACACAAAAGCACCCAGTGCAACCAGGGCCCGAACGTCCACACCACCAGTGCACTGACCCCACACACCCAGGATCCAGAACACAAGACAGGCCCTCAGCCACTAGGGGGAAAAAAAAAAAGAAAACGCAGCATAATACAGTTTGCACATAGGAAGCTCTCTCCTACCTGGGCTTTGCCGATGCCTCCGCCAGTCACTCCTGACTCCTCCCTCCATAGCAGAGCCTGCAGAGGTCCATGTGGCTGTCTCTTGGTTCCAGCACCCTGGAACGCCCGCTGCGCCGGCCCGGGACCGGAAATAGGCACTGGGCTGGGTCCTGCCCCCTCCCCGTGGCCAGAACTGATGCTGCATACCCGACCAGAAGCTCCGCCCCTGCCCGGAAGTGACCACACGGGCATGCCTAGACAATGCTGGACACCAAAAACATGGCCACCGACATTGCGCACACCTGGACACCAGGGCTGCAGGCTACCTGGTTGTACTGGCACTGAAAGGGGAGACTGGAACAGACCTCCCCACCAGGGTCCCTGGAGGACCCCGCTGCAAGAAAAAGAAAGAGAAAACAAAAAAAACAAAATGTAAAAAAAATGGCAGCACCTGAGAGAATGCAGTCCCCACAATTCCTGTATGTTCCTACCTGGAAACATAACTGAGGACTGTGGGGAGACGCCTCCAATTTGAAGTCTAAATGGGTGTGTGTTTCCTGCGAGAGGAGGTGGAGCTGCATTCTCTCATGTGCTGTTCCAAAAGACATTTTGAGAAAAAAAAAAAAAAAAAAAAAGCTTACGTTCACATATCTAAAACCATTGTGGAAGTCTTTATAGTGGGTTTTTTTAATTTTTTTCTTGACAGTAGATACGAACAGAGTAATCTCAGGTGAGACAGTTCAGTCTACAATAACATATACAATAAGCATTTCAACAGTTTTGCTTTTAACTTTGCAAAGACCCATAAGAGCCAATTATTTTGTAAGTGTTTCCATGCTAACAGTCAAATCTCAGTAGTCCGGTTTGGATTTAGACTAGCTGTTAAAATTATAAAGCTTGCTCATGCTTGGACCTGGCCTACTAAACAGTGAAGAAAGGAAAACCTGTGAGCATAAGTATGGGAACTCACACCCCACCACCTGGAATAAACAGTACTGACAAGTACACCAGTTCTTTTCCGCTCTCACTGTGCTTTGACTGGCACCACTGGCATGACAATAAAATGGAAATCCACATTTAAAAAAAAAATAGCATAAACAAGCCCCAAACAGTAGATATTTTTTATTAAAATAGCATTTTCAACCACCATAAACTGATAATACTTTATTTTTTTATTCAATAGTACACGTGACAACACCATAGTGATTCAAAATAATCTTAATAGCTGCTTTAAAATCCAAATTTACAGCTCAGTGAAACCTTGAAGAAAATAATCATCTTTACAGTAAAAAAAAAAAAAAAAACCACATACAAAAAAATAACAAAACAAAACAAAAAACAAATAAAGCTTTCTGACATACATTTTAACTTTTCATCCCATTACTCTTCAAGGGATTTACCTTATATCAATAATATTTCAGAGAGGCTCCACTGGCACTGTTGCCTCCATTTTCTGCATAGAATACATCTAAAATGTAAAAGTACCCATCATACTATTATTACACATAAATAATATTCTTAAACATTTTAGCTTCAAAAAGAAACCATTTATTTGAACCCGTTGTACTTGGCAGGGTCGAAACGACTGAATGACAATGCTTAGCTGGCCCCACCACTGGCAACAGGGCTGACCTGTCCAGAGACAGTCAAAAACAGTCAAAGCAAGATATATAAAATGTTGAGACTTCCATGTGTTCTACACTACTGTACATAGATAGACAAATTTTAAAAAGTGCAAGGCAATATCTGCAGTTCTCATTGTTATTAGGCACATCCATTCCTTTAAAGCAAGCTTTGTAGGGAAATTCCAGTTTTTTTTGTCTTCATGATGCCCTCTCAGAAGTCTTGTTCTCTTAGAAAAGGACCAAACGGGAGAGGCAGAACAAAAATTACATCTTGTAAACCATCAAGTGATCCCAGTTTATTTTATGGAGTGTTCAGCTGTGTCGCATTCTGCTTTTCTTTATCCTTGCAGGTTTAGGCTTGGGGATATATTGATTGTTTGCTTGATATTCAAGTTCCTTCCTAAAGTAGTGGATAGTTTTGTTCAAGCCTTCCTCCAGTGGAACCTGCAGAGGGGAGACAAATACATTTTTATGATATACACCTTTTAACAATTGCTGTTCTTGAGGCCACTGAGAATTCTATTAACAAATGTCTACAGGAAAATGCCAGAATAGGTGTTGGGTCTTAAAAAGAACTTGTGCTGCCACTGATGACCTTGCTGCCTGGTCTCAGTACTTTCCTACTGACCCGGAAAAAGTATGAAGAGTGACAGCTGACTTCACTGGCTGCATACTTGCTCCCGAACATTAAAGCCAGAGGAAAACCATGCAAGCCACACAGCTACAATTCTCAGAATAAGGTCAGTGCTTCAAACCTCCAGATTTTTCTTTAGGTTTCCGTTCACTGCTTTAAAAATCCAAACTTTTATATTCCATAAAAATATAGTAATTTGAAAAAGATTTACAGGCAATTTTAGGTAATAAATATGCTGGTTAAATAGATCTAAATAGTACTTCTAGTTTGTGAACAAAAAACACAAAACAGCTTTGCTGTATAAGTATACGTGAACTCTGATGTTGTAAAACAACCCATTCACTTAAAATAGAAAAGCAGTGGAAAACATTTGTGTGTGTATATAATAAATAAAATAACTTATTCATAAGTGATCACATGAACTCTGTTCTCAGCTGCATAAGAAGTGGGGGTGGAGACTGCAGGATGCATTGAAATAGCAATAGACTGCAGGTGCGGAAGAGGTTTCAGCACAAGCTTGGCCCCTGGAGGACAGGCAGGCTGCTCTTCCAGCACAGCCAGAAAACTGACCACACTGGGAAGGATCTGCTTCTATGCCTTGTGTGGTCAGTATAAAATAGGAAATCAGGAGGAGTGGAAGGATCATGAGGTATTTCACACAAAAGGAAGTAATGAAAACAGAACAGGATATCTTTTACACACAAGTACATGGTACCTCAGGCATATATCAGGAATATTAACCGCCTCCCACCCGCCATATAGTCCAATGACGGACGCAAGGCGGTTCTCTTGTTCTGGGAGGAAATCGTATGATGTCCTCCCATTCTCACCGCACAGGCGCGGCTCCGGGAGTGCGCAGCGTCCCTCGGACACAGCAGATCACCGATCACGGAAAGAGCCGAAGATGTCGGCTCGGTCATCCGATCAGCTGTGTCCAAATCACAGCTGATCACATGTAAACAGGGAAATGCCGGTTATCGGCATTTCTCTCCTCTCGAGCTGTCACGCTGACAGCTCGAGAGGAGAGTAGAGCCGGTAATCGGCATTCCTCGGAGGGGACATGTACACTGATCATCAGGGTACTGATGATCAGTGTGCCCTGATGATCAGTGTAGCGCCAGCAGTGCCACCTGTCAGCTCTCATCCACGCCACCTGCCAGTGCCCATCAGTGCCACATCAATGCCACATATCAGTGCCTACCAGTGCACATCAATGCCACATAGTGCCCATCTGAGCTGCCTTTCAGTGTCACCCATCGCTGCCAGTCGGTGCCGCCTACCAGTGCCCCATCAGTGCCGCCAGTCAGTGCTGCATTTCACTGCCCATCAGTGCTGCCTTTCAGTGCCCATCAGTGCCACCTACCAGTGCCTCCCATCAGTGCCCATCACTGCAGCCTATCAGTGCCCATCACTGCAGCCTCATTAGCACACATCAGTGAAGAAGAAAAATCACTTATTTACAAAATTTTATAACAAAAACTAAGCAAAAAACATTTTTTTCCCCAAAATTTTCAGTGGTTTTTGGTTTAAGAAAAAACCCAGAGGTGATTAAATACCACCAAAATAAAGCTCTGTCACAAAAAAATGATAAAAATGTCATATGGGTACCGTGTTGCATGACCGCACAATTGTCAAAGTGTGACAGCGCTGAAAGCTGGAAACTGGCCTAGGCAGGAAGGGGGTATAAGTGCCCTGTAGGCTAGCGGTTAAATGTTGGGGTATCAAACACTATCATAGATACCAACTGTATATTGTGATCTTAACCAACATTAGATCCCCTTAGTGCAAACCTAAATACAGATGTGGGGATCTGACTCAACCCTCAGTATGTGTTCTTGAAAAGTCTTTTCACCCAAGATTTATTAACAATTTCTGTCTCACAATGACAGAACAATGAATCTAACAACAAAAGTAAACAAAGTATAGGTATATCCATGTTGTTTTAGTTTTGGATAGAACATGTAATGGTTACCTGTCAGTTTTTTTTTTTGGTGACTGTTCCACTAGTGAAATTTCTGTTCACTTCCTGTCCCAGACAAAAAACAATTACAAGGAAATCTATCTCATGAGGGGGGAAAATCTCTTGATATCTGATAACAGCCGAAATTTTTTTAGTATGAATCACATTTTGTCTTGGTCACAATGATCACAAGGACAATAGCAAGAGTATATGTCCTCAGCAGAGGACATGGATAGCAATAAAAACCTAATAGGCTCTCTAAACCTTTCCTGTTCTATTCAAAGCTGAAAAAGAAATTGTATCTGATTTATATTATTGCAGGAGTTTTATACAGGGAACAGAATGTGCAAAGAGTTAAAAGACATAGCAATACATTTACTAACTTTTAATATTTAACATATGCCAATTTGTAAAACATGTATAAGTTTTAAGAACTTTACTGGAAAACTATACTTTGATCTGTTTCTACATGCAAGTGACTCCTCATCAGTAATTTCACTGAAGCATACTGAAGTCAGCCTCTCCTGCAATGGCTGATAAAAATAAATCAATACGCTGTGCTCAGTTGTAAACCCTGCTGTATGTAAATGCAGCATCAAACTTCTCAAGTTCACCACAGGTATGGGAACATCTACATACATATTTATGAATGTCATTGGCAGCATGTTTCTACCATATGATGTGACCTACATTTCACTTGCCATTTTCTGCTAAATAGAGAAGATCTACTTACAGGAATATGGACAAAATATCTAAAATAACATTCAAACAACCGATGTTATACATCAGAAATACATTCACTTGGCAGGCAATACTGATGGCACACATCCACTCTGTAGAGAAAACCTGGCAATGCACACACTGGGATACCGGTAGTAATCTGGGGTGGGGATACTGGGGCACCATACGTCTGCTCTGGGGTGGGGATACTGGGGCACCATACGTCTGCTCTGGGGTGGGGATACTGGGGCACCATACGTCTGCTCTGGGGTGGGGATACTGGGGCACCATACGTCTGCTCTGGGGTGGGGATACTGGCACCACACGTCTGCTCTGGGGTGGGGATACTGGCACCACACGTCTGCAACAGCTAAAGACTTACACTTAAGGCTAAAGTCAGACCAAGGAAACCACTCACCTGCACTGTTCTGGCCAGGGAGGGAGCAACGCTGAAGAGGCAAGTGTTTTTTTATAGCATAAAAATGTTAACAGGTGCCTTAGTAAAACTATACAGTCATATTTATGGTTTGACTACACATACAAACAAAACTCTTGACCTAAACTTTGGAATGCTGGTTCTTCAACATACTAGGCCCATAAAAAGCATGGGCAGGGTTTTATACTTGATCATACATAATATGCTGATAATGCAGTCTTTTACAGTACATTGTAAAAAGAAGATTTTTGGCTTATTGTAAAATAGTCTTCAAGTACATTAAAAGGACACAGGCTGAAGTATTTCAGGTGCATGATGTTAAGCTGACGTCTCCAGGAGATGAGACACTGGCAAACAAGGCTGTAACCCCTCCCACTCCCTTTGTACCACCTTTGTTTTTAGCAAGATCATATATAGTGGATCATAAAGTGTCTCAATGTACTCCAAGAAAAGGATTTTATGGGAAGCCAAAAATAATGTTTTCTTAATCAATATATTAGGGGCACAGGGTGAAGTAATTCAGGTACAATGAGATGTCCAAATGCAGCCCAACTGAGGGGTTTGCAACACAGCAAACAAAACGCTAACAGGCCCACAAGTAAACAAAAGGGGCTCAACACATCTTAAAGCGGAACGTCACTCTCTCAATCAACATTGACTATTTGTAATCCTTATGCTGCTAGCATTGGTAAATACATAAGGAAAACATATAATATTTACTTGTTTTAAGCTTTTTTTTTTTTTTTACATTTCTTCAGTTCCTTCTTAGTTTCCATGCCAAGGCAATAGATGTCATATATCTCAGGAGTCTTCAGGAGGAGAGGGGGGGTTTTCTCAGCTAAGCACACCCTCCTGCCTGCATGCTTGAGCTAAGGGCAGATGGATTCCAGGAAGTAAATGCTACATGAAACATCTGCCCTTACTCAAGATGGCCACTGCCAGAAATGTTAGGAGGCATTTTACAAAGTGATTTCCCAGCACTGCAGTATCACTTGGTGGCGTGGCGAGTCCCATAAGTGCAGTACAAGCTGGTGCGGTGGCGAGCACAAGTATTGTCCCACAACCAACAAGAATTTAGACACAGGCCTGTAGAGCCCCTAATATCCTTCCGGATGAGCTTGCAAATCCCGACTGGCAGCCCACAAATTCTGCAGCAACCAGACTTCCCCCATTCACTGCCCAACTTGGAATTCAGGTGAAAACAGTAAATTTAACTACTCCCCTTGATTTTTTGGAGCCGTTCTTCATGAAACATCTGTATGCATTGATTGTGGATCAAAGCAATTTATATGCACAACAATTTATCGCCGCCAACCCAAATTCAAACCTTGCCAGACCATTCGCATGGAAACCCATTACGGTTTCCAAATTAAAAATTTTTTGGGCATAACCCTCAACATGGGCATTACTAAAAAAAAAACGAATTGCAGTTGTATTGGTCCACAGACCCGATTCATCATATGCCGGTGTTCTCTGCTGCCATGGCCAGACAGATATGAGAGTATAATGCGTTTTATGCATTTCAATGACAAACTGTTGTCATCGGGGTGACCCTGAATATGACCGGCTCCACAAAATTCGGCCCCTCGTAAATAACCTTAATCAAAGATTTGCAAATGTCTATACTCCCGAGCAAAACATCTGCGTTGATGAGTCCCTCATTAATTTTTCTGGCCGCCTTGCATTCAAACAAT